GGTTTCTCTGATGAGCAAAAAAATAAAATAAAATCACCATCTAACAGAGAAATGGTGTAACCGTCTTCATACTCCCTCCCTTGACTCCCCTGCATAGTGTATGTGTTGGTACAGAGCTGGAGAAGAGGGCGGGTCTGGGCTTCTGCTACATTACAACAAACCCTAGGCAGATTAATAGCCTCTAGGGAAGAGCAAAAGCATGGCAAGCCGTCCCCTCTGCCATTCTGTCTGGTGAGTATAGTTTAACTAACTTGAGGATCAAGCCCTTTATTTATTAATTTTTACCTTACTGATGCCATTGACTTCTCTACTGGGGTTCATATCCCACAGTGATCGGGGTCTTTAAGGGAATGCTGCTGTGCCATGGGTATGTTCAAGTTAGAACTACATGTAAGTGAGTCGGCACCTGCCTCTCATCTGCACGAAGCTCTTCATAACAGCTCCAGTGATTATAGCGTGTCAGGTGTAAACACATTCGCGATGGCCAGTGCACAGCTGATGCGCAGAGTCTGTGGCTTCCTCTTTGCAAATATTGCATTAATTAAATGGGAAAGCGCCAGGAGCCTACTGTTCACACAGAGCACTTTGCAGAGCTGGCAGTGTTGTATGAGGGGCAGGCAGTACACACTGGGCTGGCTGGCTCCCCTGGCATCTCCCCATCAGTGCTGTGCAGGAGAGAGAGAGAGAGAGAGAGAGAAAGAGAGCAAGCGAGAAAGCGCGTACATGCCCACTGTGTGGAGGCAGTACGTATCCACAACAGCAGTGCAGTGACTCTTCCATCCCAATTATCATTATCACTGGAGACAGCTTAACAGATTACTGCAGAAGGCAGGCTGAGACCACATTAAAAAGTCTGATAGGAAATGAGGGTCCCCACTTAGCATGCTGAAATGAAGGACTTGAGTCCAGTCTGTACCAGCGTGAATCAGATCCAGATCGCTTCAATATGCCTGGGACAGGCACATAAAAAAGTGGCTTATCAGATACCATATAACCGATGCATCTTTCCCGCACTTCCACTTCTTCAACAGATGTGGGGGGTTGAGACTATAAAGGTTTTACATAACTTGCCATTGTTCTGTGAGCTCAGGGCTTCCTGGCAAGGGGTCAGCTCTCACACTACTAGCATTTAGACCCTTTGGTCACATCAGATTTCTGTAGCCAGGAAGCTAGTATAGGACTCAGTTATTGAGGTGGCATAGTTTCTGTGTGGTTCCCTAAGCTGACTTGCTGTTATGCAACTCAAGTTACTTGTCTAGTGTAGAATTAGGAGGAGGTGGAGGATGAAAATGAGAGTCACAAAGCTGCAGAACTGTGGGCTGAACAGTGGGGAAAAGATTAATAAAATACAATTCAAAGCAGCTTCCCAACTTGTTAAATGTGGAGAGGCTTTAATCTTTAATCTCTGTAATAAGGAGAGGAATGTAGCAGTTGTAAATAGACACAGGCAGTGCTAACTAGCAGGGTCTGAATACACAGAGTAACATTTTCAAACCCGGTAGCAGTTGTAAATAGACACAGGCAGTGCTAACTAGCAGGGTCTGAATACACAGAGTAACATTTTCAAACCCGGCTGCCTAAAATTATGCTTGTAAATTCATGTTTAGACATCTGGGTGGGATTTTCAAATGAGCCTAAGGCTTAGTGTACAGTTTATGTACCAGTCTAACATTCATTTAGGGGTGTTTAAAAGTGATATACACTTTTAGCAGTACAGCTCCCGATGTGGGCTGTTGTTTTGGCATAAAGGTGCATGATATTGATATGTCTTTCCTCTTCTCATGTGAGAATAAGGCCTTGTCTACAAAACACTGCAGTAGTGCTGCTGTAGCACTTCAGAGAAGTCACTGAGGAGAGTATTCTCCTGTCGGGGAAAGTAATCCAAAGGGTACTAGCAAGGTCAATCGGAGAATCTGTGGACAGCTATCCCAACTCTTCTATCTCCAATGCTTTTAGCAAATTTTAGTTTAAGTCTGCACATTTTCTTCTGCTTGCTTGGCGTCTGAGTGGATTTTACAAATTACAAGGCTTGTCTGATTGAGGGGAAGTAACTATAACTTTACCTTAGTGGAAGGGAAGAGACAGACTGGTCTATTCAGAGTGCCCATTGTATCATTCATGAGGGTCTGCCCCATGTTTACCAATTACAGTCCAGGGCCGATCTATACTAAACATATGCATTGGCAGAGCCATCTTTCTCAGGTGTGTGAAAAATCTGCACCCCTACAAGGTGTAACTGTGCCCACCCCTGGTATAGACAGCAACAGGTTGATGGAAGAATTCTTAAACTGCAACCTTGCAGGGAGATGGATTAACTAGGCTGATGAGAGAACTCCTCCCATCACAGTAGTTAGTTGTTTACACTTGCTGCAACTATGCTGCTGTATCAGTTTAAGTGTAGACTTACCTTGGAGTTAGGCCTGGTCTACACTAAACAATTAGGTCAGTTTAACTACATTAATCGGGATGTAAAAATCCATACCCTCAAGCATTGTAACCACATCATCTTAACCCTCTTGACAGCCTCGGTAAAATGTATATGGAAGTGCTGCAGTTTAATTCATTCTGCAGGGTGCCAAGGGAGGTGAAGTGAAAATTGGATGCAAAAGGTTTGGGGATTTCATGGTCTGATTCTTTTTTTCCTGAAGTTGGTTCCCCCCTTTTGCTTCAGTAAGCAAGAAATAGGAGAGAGGTCCAACATACTCTGAGCCAGACTAAGCAGCTGTAAAACAGTGTTGCTTTATTGACTTCAGTAGCACTATGCAGATGGATTGCCAGACAGTCCAGTTTAATGATCCAGGCAGAGTAAAAGCTCATACCCAGCAATCAGACTCAGAACTCTCAAGTGCTAGTGAAGCACACTAACCAAAGGGCCACCTGACCAACTCCTGGCTTGGAGGCTGATATTTAGTCTGCGATTTCAACGTAAGTTTTTTTTTCTTATAAAAGAGAAGAAGAGACGATGCATTAGATGAAGAGTAGTGCCTACTGGTTAAAACGGAGTTGGACAGTCATGGCTGTTGAGTTCTGTTCCCAATCCTGCCACTGCTTGCTGGGCAAGAAGCTTTACTGTGATGTGCCTCAGTTTCTTCATATGTATATTGGGTATAATATATACAGTACTATATTTTACAGTGGCATTGTGAGGATTAAGTAATCTTTGCAGAGAGGTTGTCAGTGAAAAATTATATACAAGAGTAGTTCAAGTGTCATGCTGTTTGGAGTGACTCATGACCATGAGCATCAACTTCAGGGCAGACATCCGAAAAGCAGGGCAGATATCCCCAACTGATTGCATGCTCTGTAATTAGATTTCACGGATCCAGAAACAAATGTAAGTATAGTTTCCCCAAGTATAGTCTTATAACAGTCACAAACAGTGCCCTTCGGCACTGCAGCCTAACTTGCCAGCCAGTGCGATAAATGGTGACTTACACTAAAAATCACAAAATGTTCAGATGCTTCTAGTTCCAATAGACCAGTCACTTACCCTAGATCAATTGTATGTTAGATCTCACACCAAAGTCTTCTAGATAATCCTGTAATTAACTAAAATTTTATTAACTAGGACAAAAGAAGTAAGAGTGTTCTTTACCAGTCAGGGAAAGCAAGCTCTATACACACCTGAGTTCCAGTGTGTGATTCAAAAGATGACAGAGCTGTAGTGATCTGTCAGTTAAAGTGTCTCAGGACTAAGTCATGACAAGCAGCATGGGAATCTTTTTGCTTATGTTCAGGCATCTTTGTGCCTCAGAATCCAGACAGTAGGAAAGAGAATCAGTTTCTCCTTGTTAGGGATTTTGCCTCCCCCACTCCAGAGTTCAGACTGATGAGTTCATGAACAGGCCTCTCCTTCCTAGAGGGAGTTAGAAAAGTAGTTAACATTGCCTCTGGCCTTTGATGCTATGCAATACCTCATTTGCCATCAGTGGATCATCTTGTGTGTAGGACAAGTACTTTACCTTATTGTTTCTTTTCCTGTTTGGTGAGTTACATAATTACAGAGGTTTACAATGTCAACACTCAATATAACTTTATAGTATGGGCTGCAGCCAAAGACCTTACTTATAATGGTAGAGATCAAAACATGCTGAATCCTTCAAGCATTTTATAAAACCAAACCATATTCTTAGTAACTTAACAGCTAACATCTATTTTGATGATGCCAACACACAGGTAAGTCTGGTTTGCAGCTATACATTTGGCTTGAGACCTTGGTATGAGCTGGCACTTGGTCTGCCAGCATCACACCATGTACTTTTCCTAACTCCCAAACTCCACTTATTCATAATCTTGCTAGGCTATAATATGAACTTGATTTAGCTGTAAAAAACACATGCACTTTTATAGCACTATAAAAATAATTAATAGTATACCACTGGAACCTTTAATTAAGCCCATACTGTAGTTTCCTCACCCAATGCTAACTATGTAGTCCATACCCTTTGGTGACAAAACCCTTGGGTGAGTATGGCCCAACGCTACAGTGGATGAATTCTGTGTTTGAACTTGGATTACATTTTAATTGTTACACAGGCGCTGTTATGAACAAAAAAGGAGAAACACGTGCAGAATGGAGGTGAGGGGGGAGAGAAATAAAAGAGCTTTCTCTCCTCCTTCTAGAATCGCTCTCACATTCGGAGAAAGGCAAAGACTTGCAATGAAACAGGTAACAAGGGAGGTGTGCGTGTACACCTTTTCTCCAGCTCTCCACTGAGTCATGACCTTGTTTCTTCAGGAATTGCCTGCTGTTTTCTTTATTTTCTAAGCAACTCCTGAGACAATTACTTGCCTGCCAATCAGCCAGCCAATCAGATAGGAAAGGGCCTGAGTTGGAGATGCACTTCCTGATCCTTTCCTCTTACTATTTTTCTTTCCTGGCTCACCATGGAGAGGACGGGGGGGAAAAAAGGCTTCTCTTACCTGCCTGAGCACCTGATTGAATGTTATGTGTACTGTATTTGGATATTATATTTTTGTCATTGTTATCATTTTGGCAGAACCCAAGAAGAAGAAAAAGGAAGGCAAGAAGCAGGAGAAGATGCTAGATTAATAGAAGCCATGCTGGGCAGCAGGAGAAAGGGACATCAGCAAGTGTAATGGGTTAACAGTTTCATTTACATCTAGGCAATTTACCCTAAAATTATTTATAGTTTAATTGTACAATAGAAGAAACACACACACACACACACAATCCTTTTTTTAAAAGTTTACTCTAGTATTTTTAATGTATAACCCTAACAACATTTTAGAGGACTGCAATAAAGAACTGTAATTTCATTCAGAAAATTATTTCTATTGTATGTTGAACAATGTAGAGTATTTTAAGGCATGTTTTTCTCAAATCATATTTTAGTGGTTGATCCAGACAAGTTACTCCATGCAGGCAGAGCTCTGAGCCTGTGGAAGTCAGTGGAGCGGTGTGTGAGAGCAGGCATCTGCTCACATGCAATAATGTGTAGGATTGAGGCCTTAGATCTGAAACAAAGGAGACTTTTTTGGTGGGGGAGGGGATATTTTAAAATGAATATTCTGATTATTAGAATGCTGTGTCGAAACTATCTGTTTGGGAGTAGGTGGGAAGGACTAGTATTTACAGACAAAAAGTAAGAGGGGGTGGGACAGGTTTAAATTCCCAGTGTTTCTACCACAGGCACTTTATTGGCATCAACAATAGTGAAATAATCTCTAGAAAGCTGGGGTTGGCAAAGTCCTCAATTTTCACAGTGTTGCACTCAGCTGAAAAAGAGCTTGTCACAGTCAAACAATACCAAAACTCTTCTTTTGTTTTCATGAAAAATTCAAGGCAACAGAGGAAAAACGTTTCCCTCTCTCTGCATGAAATCCTGCAAAAATACCTTTACCCTGCCCTCTTCAAGCAGGGGAGAATATCCTTTTCATGCAGTCTGATTGGGATCATTGGGTTTTTGCCTTATCAGTCTTCCATTGATACCAATGAGAGCCTGCCTATTGATTTCAATTAGAATTGGTTTCAGCAGAAAAATTGAAATAAATTATTTTTTAAAAAGTCACAGGCTTTTTTCCAGAAAACAAAACGGGGAAAAAATTGGGTTGGAAGCCAAAAATTAGATTTTTTTTCATTTAGCCCCTTTATCTCCCTTTTTCTTTTATTCCATTAGAAAAAAGGGAAAGTGAAAACCAAGAAAGGTTTTGTTTTCCATTAAAACTTGGAAAATGTCAGTCAAAATAAAAATTTTCTGTGAAAAAAATTTACTTAAAGTGTTTTTTGTGTAGGGGGGGAGGGAGGGGAAATATTGATTGGAAAAAAATGAGCTGCTTTAATTTTAATAAATATTGAGTCTGTTCTTTTGTTGAGGGAAGGGAGGGCTGATTTTCTTCTTATTTTAGCCCACCATTTTAATTGACTATGAGACCCATGGCAAAGGCATCTCTTACATCATGAGCTAAAGTGCTACCCAAGTGGCTCCAGGAAAATCCCATAAATGATTGTGCTGGGGAGAAGACTGTTTTTCACTCAAGACATTTAAGTGAGGATTTTGCAAAGGAGTTTAAAGAATATCAGTGCCCAAATTCCACTGAACTTGCATTTGAAAATCTCAACCTTATAGTTCAAAGGATAGGATTTGGCTGCATCCTGCTTTCTGTAGCGGGAAGGCCATGGCCTGTGTTATGCAAGTCAGACAATGGTCTCCTCTGGTCTTAAAACATATGACTCAATGAGAACCTGCCAGTGTCAGTAGTTCTGCACTGGGTGTAAAGAGAACTCAGGTGAACAGGTCACACCGCAGGATTGGGGCTTGGCTTGTAAAAATGGTGGAGATTCTTCTCCCCACTCTACCCCTCCCCCCCCCCACCATACATAAACTCCAGGCATGCTCTCGTTGTGCTCACACTGGTTCTGGAATGGAGAGCACGCTTTAGGCCAGGGGTGGGCAATAATTTTTTTTGGGGGGGGGGGGCACTCCAAGATTTTGGGAAGTAATCGAGGGCTGTACTCTTCCATGATATTAATGGAGGAGATACAGGGTCTGGGATGGAGGTTGGGTACAGAAGGGAGCTTGGGGTAAGGGATTGAAGAGCAGGAGGGAGACTGGAATCTGGGAGGGAGTTTGGGTGAAGGAGGTGGTTGTGACCTAGTGCACGGATTTGGGGTGTGGCCTATGGTAGGAGGGGATTGTGATCCGGGGCAGAAGATTTGGGTGTAAGCGGGGGAACGGAGGGTTTGGATTTATTGAGTGGGGGAGGAGAGGCAGAGGATTGGGACAGGGAGGGACTGGGGTGTCAGATGAAGGCTGTGGCCAGGAGACTTACCAGCCAGCATGCAAACCAGCTTAAAACATTTCCCAACCAGCTTGGCCACGTGTGTCATTGAATAACTGAGCTAAGGAGAGGGGGCATGGTTCTTCTTGGCTGCCTGTTAGTCAAGTTTAAATTCCCAGTAGCTCCCATTGGCCGGTTTTTGGCCAGAAACTGGCCAATGGGATTGTGCTGGAGGCAGGACCGCTCCTGAAACGTCCCCCCTTCTCATCCAGTTTTAAAACAGAACTGGAGCCCTGCAGTCATGTTTCTGCACAGCTTGCAGGACTGGGGGGCCTATACACAGAGCTAAGGCCTGGTCTACACGTAACACTTACGGCATAGCTACACTAGGAAATTATTTAAAAATAACATATTTCAAGATAACTCCTGAAATAATAATTTTGAAATAGAGTGCCCACATAACAGGGAAGCCTCAAAATCAGTCTGATTCAAGCTCCTTAATGTGGACATGCTATCTTGCCTTAGAGCCCCAGGAAGCACTGGGGAGTACTTAGTTTGAATGACTCAGATGCTGCGTTGCCCCTACTTTGAAATAACTACTCATCAATTTTGAAATAAGCATTATTCCCCGTGGAAAGCAGGAGTTATTTCAAAATAACCAGCCCATTATTTTGAAATAAGGTAGTGTGAATACTCTGCTTGTTATGTCAAAATAAGGGGAGTTATTTCAAAATGACTCCCTAGTGTAGACCAGGGCTTATACAAGCATAAATATATTAGCCAGCAACATGAAAAAAAAGTTCTGTTAGCAGAGGGATGTAAATGAAGCACTTCGAAAGTGCAAATGAAGCTGGGATTTAAATATCCCATGCTCCATTTGCATAATCATGTAATGGCACTCTTTCTGCCAACAGAGGGATGTAGTCTAGACATAGCCATAGTGGTCGTAGCTATGCTGACAAAACCTCCCATATAAATGCAGCTATTCCAATTGAAGAGTGCTGGTGTGAATCTAGTTAATGTTATATGGGAAGATGGTGTTCTCATGTCAATGGGTTGGTTTACACTAGGGCTAAGTCTACACTGTAGCCTTCTTCCAGAAAAGCTTATGCAAATAAAGTATGGAGTGGAATATCACTATGCTTCATTTGCATAATGTCGAAGCAAACGCCTCACTCAGTTTATGCGGCTAAACAGACAGTTTTATTGGCCAATAAAAGCAAAGTGAGCCAAACGTGGTCCCAGCAAAGCTGGGTCCAGTAAGGCTGCTTAATACAATCAATCCTAGTATTTTATACCCTTAACCAAACAAGTCTGACGTCAGGGCAAGAAATCAAAGAGAACTTCAAAGAGGAATTATTATCAGCATAGAAAGAAACAGGTTAAAAGGGAGTTCGAGCTTCAGCTCAAAATAGTTCATTAACACATTCCAACAGCGCATCCCTCTGGTCTCTCCCCACCTCGGTGAAGGCCAGTTCACTCCCTCGTGCAGACACAAGAAACTGAAATGGCTTTTTGTTATACAGAATGGCTTCTAGCTAAATATGAAATAGCTTCTACAATCTCCCCCCTTTTAGCCTTTTAAAGGCTAACCTTGAAACTATTTTATACCTCCATTTTTCATTAAAGTATTTATGTACATTTCTTGTTCCTTTCTCTGCTCATCCTATTTTAACATCATGAGTTCCACATTCCCTTTAGTAAGGCTCTGTCTTGTGTTTTCCAGAATACAAGAAATAAAGCAATTGATTAACAAGAAACAGCAATAAGTACAAAAGCATATAGCCAATACTAAAACTACTCTTTGCAAAATCCAAGTTCCCACGTGTCCAAACCAGCCTCCCAACCAATCCCAGAGGGTCCAGTCTTCCCCCTGCCTTAGGCGTTCCACAGTTCTTTCAATCTCTGAGGCATCTTCCTCTACTTCTTTGCTGGTGTCAGAAATATACCCACAGCATTCTCTTCTTACTAAGGCACAAACCCTGCCCTTACTAGGTAGGACATAGTCCAGGGCCATCGGTTTGGGATTTTTTCTCACCCTGGCTCCTGAACCATTACATGTCCAGCAGTACTTTCCAATTGGGGTCAAGGCTAGGCGGATATACCCTGGGTTAGTAAACCCTTTATCCTGCCAAGTATCATTTGGCTTAGTTCACTAAACAGTGTGCCATTCATTTGAGTGTTGTTTAGTGGGACTGGAATCATTGGGATGCCTCCTTCTGAATGTACCGGACTGTGAGCACATATCCAGCAACCTGTGGAATTAAATTCTTGGGAAACTTGGTTCATTAAAAGCATAAACACATTTGAACCATATAGGTTATAACTGCTAGTTTTAAAAACAAGATTAAGCATAAGCTCAACATGAATTGTTTGTCCAGCCTCATGCTGGCTGTTCTTCAGGACTTCATAGTTTGCTTCACCTATTGCTGGCAGGTTCTTCTGGGCCGCAGCTGGTACCTTAGCCTTGGTCTCTCAGGCTCGTCTGCTCTGGGCCTGGATTGCCGGTACTCAGCCTGTGCTGATCCTCGTCTGCTTCTGGACCTGTGTCTCTGGTACCAGGTCTGCGGTGCTCCTTGTTGGGGCCGACTTCTGTAGGGGCTGGAATGGGTTTGCAGTGGGATGCGTGAATCCAGGTGGGCAATCCTTCGTACTTTACAGCAGTATGGGTGGTCAGAAGGACTTGGTAGGGACCCTTTCACCTGGGTTCCAGGGCAGTCTTCCGCTGGTGAACTTTCACGCAAACCCAGTCTCCTGATTGTAGTTTAAGGCACGGCTCAGTCGGGGCCTCCTGGAAGGCGTCCTTAACCTGTGAATGATAAGACTGTACACACCTCATAAGTTCCTGGCAATACTTGACTATGCTT